TATCTGTAAATTACGGTGAATCCTCAGCTTTATCCTTAGATTCTGTCAAGACCAAATATTCCTGAAAACGTAATGCGAAGCATGGCTGACAAGATGAAATTATGCATGTTCGAGAAAACTACAATTTCTCATACACGCAAGGGGCAAATGTAAGAGGAGCTAATTTGAGCCCACTAAATTAATTAGCCCCAGTAGTCCGAGGTTGGTAGGCCCGAATTTATCATAAGTCCAAGATTGGTGGGCCCAGATTTATCGCCATCAAACGGGTTGAATCGCTCTAAGCCTCGAAAGGGTTCAGATCCACGAACTTAGAGACTTACTCGGGCCCGGACTGGAAAGGGTATTGAGCAAGCCTAGAGATCCGAGGCACTCGGACTCGAAAGGGTTCGGATCCACAAACCTAGAGATCCAAAGCACTTGACTTCGAACGGATTCAGACGCAATCTAGAAGTCGCTCCGTTAATGAGTCCTAGCACACTTGCGGGCTCGGAGCTTTTCGAGATCCACGCACCAGAACCATGGGCGTAATGGAGTTCGAACAAATGACCTGATCCTGAGGATGGTGAGTGGAGATAAATTCACTCTTCGATTAAACTAGCCTATACCCGGGTCGAGGTGGCACGATCTAGGGGGTCCCTAAGACTGGACAATATTTGCAGCAGGGCGTTCTCTTGAACTACCTCTGACCCTTATGTGGTAGGACGTTCTCTGGGACTACCCCTGGCCCTTTGGGATGATCGGGGATCATTGGTTAAGTGTGGCTAAGAAGAAGGGTTCGCCGAGAGGTTGATCTCTTCTTCGGGGTTTTCCTCATCCTCGGAGAGGTCACCTTCTCGGACAAGGTGGTTAGAGAGAATACATGGGCTCCATCCTACATCATGAGGTGCCTATAAATAGCACCCACCCATAGCTTTACAATGGATGGATTTTGGAGAGAAAATTCTTGGGAAAGAACTAATTTCCCTTCTCCATTATCAACTTTGAGAGTGAAAGTGGGAGATCCATGGGAGAGCATTGCCATTATTCTCTCTCTAGCTACTTTGCCTTCTTCTTGACCCTGTCTCTTATCTCCATCATCTCATTTACTCTTGTGTTCTTAAGTTGAGACTATTGAAGAATCTAAGCATCTCATCATCTTCTAGAGAATTCGAAGTTGTTCTTCAAGGATCTTCGAAGATCTTTGAATTTTTCCAACGACATTCTTGAACCCTCTCATATACTGCCAATATAATAAATTCAGAAAACATTGAGAGGAAGTAAACCGCTATGAGCATTGTTGGAAGAACCAGTCGTAACATTTAGAAAGAAAAAAAATTTAAGCTTTATTTTGTTGTAAGGCTCAAATCTTGCAATTTTTGTAGAAAAATACAATTTAGTGTAAATTAGAAAGAAAAAAAAAATTACACATAAATGGTAAACTTTATAAACATTAATAATTAAAATCCTAAACTTTTTCATGTATTCATAAATATTTTTGTAAAAGCCCACACAATTGTAATTGTTTCCCTCCCCCCCTTATATTTTATATATCTAAGAAAATATGATAAATTATAAATACACCGCATGAGATTTACTTAAAATACGGATTACCCCTGTAATTTGAAAAATTACCAATATCTCTTTGTCAAAATTTTTTATTTAATAGAATTAACTAAAAAAATAAAATTTCTAACTACTCTCCTACACAATAATAGAATTATTTGAATTATTAATTGAAATATATGTATGACATTATTAAAAAATATTAATTGACTTGATAATTTATTAATAAAAGAAATTATTAGTTATAAAATTAAAACCTTTAATGGGTAAAATGTAATTTTCTGAATCACATGAAACAATTCATATCTTAAATAAACTTTAGATGTATTTGAAATTTATCCAAGAAAATAAAATTAAAAAACAAAGGCTCGTTTAGTTTGGATTTTCAAAAGGGTTTTTGAGAGCCCAGAATTTGAAAATTCATTTGTTTATCTTTATTTTCAAAACTATTTCAAATATATTCCAATTTTTTATTTTTTTTTTAAGTTATCATATCAACTTAAGAGGGCTTTGAGCTTGGTAGGCCTGTTTTGGGACTGATTTCGTTGATTCGAACCATTGACTTTTTAGGTTTCATTGAGTAAAATATTTATACAAAAAATTAAGATGATTGAATATCAATAGATATAAGTTTAAATCATATTTATTTTTAAAAAATTTGATGATAAATGTAATTTTAAAAAGAACCATTCATTTTTTGTAATATAAATTTTATTCAAACATATTCCTTGTTTGCTTTGACCTTGGAAGATAAGTTTTCAAAAAATATTTTGAGAAGAGATTTTAGAAAATTTTGTAGTTTGTTTGGTTGTATATTTTGAGAATAGTTTTGGAGCTTGGGATGATTTTATATTTTGTTTTACTTGAGTAGATGTATGTAAGAGAAAAAGTGATTGAAAATGAAAGAGGAGAGAGAAAAAATGATTGATTGATGTGTAGGAGAGAGAAAGTGATTTTGAAAATTTTTAAGAAAAATTATAAACCAAACAAAATTTCCAAAAAATTTCTCCAAAATCTTTTTCTCAAAGCCAAACCAAACAAGGCCATAGATATTAATATTCGATCATCTTAATTTTTTGCATGAATATTCTATTCAACGAATCTTAAAAAGTAAATAGTTTGGATCACTAAAATGGGTCCAAAAATGGGTATACCAAGTCCAAACACTCTCTCAAGTTGAGATAACCAATTTGAGAGAAGCCAAACCCTTCCAAATTTATCTCTATTTCCAAAACTATTTCAAAATTTAACCAAATTTATCTCTATTCCAAAAACTATTTGAAATCAAATTTATCTCTATTACCAAAGTTATATTAATTGAACCAATATTTTTGTTGAAATGGTACATTTTTCAAGTTAATTAATGAAACTTTGTAAATGAGTTATTTAAAATTTCATATAAAAATTTAAAACAAAATGAATTTGTATTTTGAATTAATAAAAAATATTTTCAAAAATAATGAAAAAAAATGTGTTATACGATTTAAGCCTATTTAGAGTGAATGTAAAAATTGATTTTTTATTTTTATTTTTTTGTATATTTGTCAGTATTTTTTAAAGATTTTTTCATAAATTTTCGTTTGTCAACTATACATTTTAGTCAAAAAGTCAAAACCTTACTATAAGTTGTCACGTCCAATGTTTTAAAAATCGGACCGGTGAATAAACCGAAAAAAAAAAGATCGGCTGGACGGGTCACTGGTTCAACCGTCAGGTTGAATGAGAATCGAACCCTGACGTCATAAATATATTAAAATTATATTTAAATAAAAAATATAAGTAATAAAATTATAAATTAAAAAATAAGATAATGTTAAATATTTCTTCTAATACTTTTTTTACTAAAAAATATAAAAATATATTTTAAAATATTATTAATTTTAATTTTGGAAGAAGAAATTAAATATTCAATATTTCTTTCATATGATTTTAATTCAAATAATTTGATTGAGGGAAGAGCAAAAATTTTGGAGAGATATCAAAATTTTAAACTTTTCTCTAATAAATTTGATTGAATCCCATATAGATTTCTTGAGTTTTTTTTTAAAGAATTTTTTTCTTATAAATAGGTAGAGGCTTTCACAATAATATCAAGTTCTCAATGGATTTCCGGAGTCGCTAGGAAACTCTCGAAAGAGAGTTTTCAATTAAAATTTTTCTTATATATATATATATATATATAAAATAAGAAAGAAAGAATAAAAAAAATAAATAATAAAATAATAATAATAATAATAATAATAATAATAATAATAATTTGATTTTATTGACCTGGTGAACTGTCACTGGGTCAACCAGTTCGATGGTTCAACCGTCGGTTTTCCCGATTTTCTCAAAATAAGTCAATTTTTTACTTTAAACGATTTAGTGAGTGTATCTGGACCGGAACCCCCGACCGGTCCGGTTCAATTTTTAAAACCTTAATCACATCAATCTCTCTACTTTTCTGCACATATTTTCGTAAAAAATCAAAAAGTTACTAAAATAGTCTGTTCTCAAACAAGACCAATGTTTTAAGTGGATAAATTACAAATATACCCTCTAAGGTTTGTTTAAAATACGATTACCCTCTGTAGTTTTGAAGATTACATCTTGTCCTTGAAGTTTCTAATTTCATAACAAATGACCCATTTTATTAATAAATCATCAAAATCAATTAATAGTTTTTAATGACATCAGAATTTTATTTCAATTAATAATTTAGATACTTTTATTATTGTTTAGGAGAGTATTTAGGAATTTTATTTTTTTAATTAATTTTGTTAAATAAAAATTTCTGATAAGGGAGTATTTTTAATTTTCAAACTAGAGGACTCAATTTGTATTTTAAGCAAACCTTAAAGGGGAGATGAGGTCTCTACTGTGCGGTCAAATAGGGCCATTTTGATAATTTAAACCGTTCATATTTTAGAGTACATTGAGTATAACATACTTATAAAAAATTGAGTTGACCGGACATTGTTAACCATTTCATTGAATAGCATTTGCATATTCAAAAATAAATGACAATTGTGATTTGAAGTATAAAAGTGAATTTAAAAATGTGAGTGAATAAAAGAGTTAACGATATATGATTAACTTAATTTTTTACAGGTATATTTTACTCGATATATTCTAAAATGTGAACTAATCAGATCATTAAAAAAGATCTAAAAATGAGTCAATTTGACTGTACATCATGCCAAGCACAACAAGGAGCCCGGTTTCCCGCAAGAGGTCCATTTGTGATTTATCCATTTTAAGTATATTTAAATTGAGCCGCTCAAAGTAAATTAAAAAAGTAAAAAGTATTAATTAAAATATTTAAAAATTCATTACCAACAATAAAATAGGAATTAAAACTAAAAAATTATTTTTAAAAATTTTAAAACAAAACAAAATTTTAAAAAATAATTTAAGAATATGAAAACCAAACGAGTTTTCGGACCAAAGAGATTGAGACCGAATATTCAGGCGTAACTCCATATTACCGCCACGTCTCCACTCTTTGAACTGAGATTGGGCACGAGTCCGGCCCACAAAGACTAAAAACACTCTAAACCCCTTTCAGATTTGGTAATGGAATGGTAGAGTAGAGATGCTTCTTTTCTTGTTGGCTTCTTCAACCAGCGGAGCACATCTCTCTCTCTCTCTCTAGGTTTGTAAATTCCAATTTTGACCACCTTATTACACTTGCCATGAATTCATCTTCTTCAACAACAACTGTTCAGCTCTGGCTTCTGTTTTGAATTCTGTCTCATATCACATGGCGGTCTCCGACATCGAAGCGGTGTTGGAGTTCCTGAAGAAGAATGGCTTCTCCAATTCACAATCGGCTCTCATTGAGGACCTACTTGACAACTCCCAATATCGCTCCTTCCATTTCGACAAGTTTCTTCTGTTCCCAAATCTGAAGATTTCTGAGTCTGATTCGGAGGCCGAGGCCCGCGATCGTCTTCATTTGAGCGATTATTCTTCTGAGGAGTTTGTCAGCTTGGGTTCTTCCACCACTCATGTGTGTTCTTCAGGTATAAGTTAACAGTGTTTTGTTTATTAAAATATTGCTGTTTAGTTTGTTTTCTCTGATGAATTGAGGATATGCTAAATATTTGATTCTTCATTTTCAGTGATGGTATTGCATTTATACTGTCAACGTTATGTTTTTGTGTATAAGTAGAATATATCTCCTTTGGCCTGTCTTGATTGTAGGCTCTGTTATTTCCAATTCGATTCACGATTGGATGCGCAATTTTTGTAAAATTGAAAAAAATTGATACGAATCTATGGGTAAATCTATTTTGAATGTGAATCTCTAGTGAATCATACGGTTCACAATCAATTCACAATTTGATTCACTTTTTACGTTTTTTTTGTCCTCCATTTTTTTTTAGTTAAAATGACACGATACAACTTTTAATAGTGTTTAATACGAAAACAACCAATATATATACATAATTTGTTATTATTTTGGAGATCAGATAGGATCCAACCAGATTTAGGGATAACATGCTTTTAACATTTCCTTCTCATTTTTCTTTTTTAAAAAAAAAAAAATCATAATGTATCTTCCAAAGATGTTTAAGGTCGAAGTAACTTGTAATATGAATTATCTATTGGTATTTTATTGAAATAAATATACTTCAATATTACATGAGTGAGGCCAGTTAAACCCAATGATTCTTCAAGATTTTTTTTAATAAAAAAAACTTACTGTTTTAAACAATATATATACCTTTAAAATCCTTTAGGTTTTAAAGTAAAAATTTTAAATTAATTCTTTCTTATTATTGGGTCATTGTTACTTGTAAAGGTATATATACTTATGAAATATCAACATCATTTTTAAGTTATTGTTATTTGAAAAGTGAGAATTTGTCTTTATTTACTTTCTTTATTATCTTTATTTTTATTAAGAATGATTGATAAAAAGGAAAAAGGTAAGATGGTGATCTTACATGGGAATCTGTGTTAACTTCTTACCTATTAGACCACGTGATTATTATTCAAAACAATATTTTCATTGATTTAAGTCTAAATATTTTATATTTATAAAATATATTTAATATTCAAGCGTGTAGATATATATGTTTTGACATAATTTTAAAAAATTGATCGAATCTTTACAATTCATGATTTAGCATAAGGCCATTTCAATTCATTATGCGATTTACGATTTGACAACTATGATTGTAGGGGTGTTCACAAGTCGGTTCGGCCTGAGTTTAACCTTAATCTGACAACCGAATCGACACTATCGGGTTATGAAATTCCTCAACCATTATCTAACAATCTGTCGTTCGAAATCGACCGAATGAAAACAGTCGGTTTTTCGATTGAATTGGTCGATTTGAATTATTTAGCAGAGAAGGTAAAGGAAAAAAATTGAAAAAAATAGAATCATACATAGATGCAGAAATAAAAAAATTACAGATCTGAAAGTGGAAGAAAGAAAATAGTGAAAAATGGGGAGAAAGGGAAGATTCACCATGCAACCGCCACGACCACCGCTCATCACCGTCGCCATCACCATTGCCATTGCTATTGCCATTGTCGCTGCTGATGGTAATTGTTTTTGTCTGTTACCATCGAACAAGGGAAGAACGAAGACAAAATAGGAGAGAAGAAAAAGACGAATAAATGAGAGATTGGAATAGAGAGCATGTCTTTGAACATCAAAGCAAGGGAGAGTGAGTCATTTTCTGTGTTGATTTTAGGGGTTTTAATTTTTGAAATAAGAATATCAAATAACATGTGTACGAGAGAGAGACGTTGAGAGGATATGGGAAAGTGGGATATGGAAAACTCAGGGATACACAGGCTGTCCAGAGTCAGAAAAAGGGACACAGCTATCAAGGTCATATAGAGATAAGACTAATGGATGACACTTGGAGAATAAATAAAAATGAAGTTATATAATATTAATTCGGGCGGGTCGAGTTCGGCAGGTGCGGAACCTACAAAACTGTTTCTGATCGCAAACTCATGAGATCAAAGACTATAAAAACGCAGCTGACCGTGTTTTCTTTTGAAATCATCTGTATCCTTCCGGGTCGAATGGTTTAATCGGGCCAATGGGTCCCATGAACAACCCTACTGGATTGTATGATTCTGTATAATATCTACTATGTTGCTTGCTGAATTTTATTGTTCACTCAATCCAAAATGTACTTTTATTATAATTATTTGAATGAAACAACTATTTTTTGTTATTTATTTTCTGTTTGATTCACTAGGGATGCAATTCTCTAGGAGTCTATATAAAGTGGCATTTTGATCTGAAAAATCTAGAATCTCTGAGATTGTGATTTGTGATTAAGCTTCAATATCAACAATCAATAACAACTGCCAATCAAACAATCATAACGATTTTACATGGAAAAAATCACAATTGAACTTCTCCAATTGTGATAAAAAAATCACGAGTCAACGCCACAAAACAAACAATGGAGTTACACAAGAGAACCTTTAATTACCAAGCGAATACACGCCTAAATTGAACCCAACTCGTTGTGCCTTTTCACCATCTTCTCATCGGAATCACTTTACCCGACGTGGAATCCACAATGCCAATGTCGAATCTGCCACAATGAGGCATTTTGAAATCCACTGAAGCTTCCAAGCTCAAGTTCTCTGGATTCCACCGATGAATGTCTCTCTAGAAAAGTATAATTGAATTATAAATCCCTTGATGATCTTCAATGTAAAGCTTGTTGATCCAAAAACACACCTTTAAGTGACTGTAACTGTCTTAGACTACTTGAATGCCAGAAAACAATTTACTAAGAAGATAATGAAATTACACAAGAGGACCCTCAATTACCTAGCGAATCTATGTCTAAATTAAACCTAACTTGTTGTTTCTCTTCCAACATTGTCTTCGCCTTGTAATTGCTTCACCCAACGTTGAATCTACAGCGCCAATGTCGAATCTACGATGATGAGCCACTTTGAAATCCATCAAAGCTTCCAAACTCAAGTTCTCCAGAATCCACCAATGAACATCACTCTAGGAAAGTATTATTGAATGATAAATCCCTTGATGATCTTCAGTGTAAAGCTTGTTGATCCATTGATCACTCTCAATTATCAAGGTACACGCATAGATCACACTAGAAAACTCTCTCTGTTTTTCGCACTTTAGGAATGAATATCTAAGAGTCTCACTTAGATTTGATCCAAAAATGCACTTTAAAGTGATTGTAACCGTCTTAGACCGCTCGAGCAAACTTTTGGTCACTTGAGCAAACTTTTTGATGTTGCAAGATTTGTCTTTGAGGCTTTGAGAAGCTGCAAGCATTTCTTCACTGCTGGAGCGCACATTTTTCCGCTCGAGCGAACATTTCTCAGCTCAAGCACACATTTCTTTGCTGCAGCACAAATTGCTTCTCCGCTTGAGCGTGACTTCTTTGCTCGAGCGCACATATCTCTGCTTGAGCACAAACTGCTTTACTCGAGCACAATTTGGGATGGATTCGCATCTAAACACTCTCATTCTCACAAAAACAAAAGAACAAATGCAATAACAATTGAATGGAGTTTTGTCCAACAGGATTGCCAATTACAAAAGGCCTAACTGTTAAAATCCACCTACTCTCCACCTACTTCACCCACTTAAACCTACTCCACTAAACCTAACCCACTACACCACTACCACCTCCACTTCACCTACTCCTCACCTACTACATACTCACCCTCTCCTATATATAGGAATCATTGTAACCATAATATAAATCAATCAATAATACATACAATTTATTCTCTCTCTATTTCTCTTTATACATTAAATTTTACACTAACATTTGAAGCCGTGCTTTTTTCTTTTCTTTTCTTTTCTTTTTTTTTTTTTCCAACTATCATTTCACTCAAAATGATACCCATGTCATTCTCAACAGCAGCTGACAGAGCTGCAAGCCTGCAAGTGCAATAGTGATATGTTGATGCCAAATGTTCAATGGTGGCTTTATGAATTTTTTTCACATGGTCAATAAAGAACTTGCACAAATGCTATGTGAAAAAATTTCAATCTTGTCAATATTTATTTTGAATAATTTGGCAAAAACAATTTAAATTTCTTAAAATCACAAACAAACAAAAAGCTTAGTACATGCAAACTAATATTTTTATGAAAAAGAAAAAAAATGCAAACAAATCTCCACATTGCCCTAAATGAGATTTCATATTATGAAATCATTGCATGATATGAAAACTCATTTAGGGCAATGTGGAGATTTGTTTGCATTTTTTTTTTATATTATTTTTGTGTAAAAATATTAGTTTACATGTACTAAACTTCTTGTTTGCTTGTGATTTTAAGAAATTTAAATTATTATTTTTTTTTAGTCGCTCGTCTCTTATGTCAAATACCTTCTTTTTATTATATGTGATTAAACAATTATTGATTCATTAATCTTGCATTCGATTGCCCAGTTGATTAATTAAGAATTTCATCATTGAAAAGACTCTTTCCGTCACTGTAGTTTCTACTGGTAAAAGCGAGGGTATAGAATCTTTGTACCTAATCTCCTCTATCCCCTTGTTCCAAACACTTTTCCACGTGATCAATCTCTGTGGCCCTGATCATCATGTGGTGAGAAAGAGTTTTCAAACAAGGATACATGGGAGATTGGGGTATAGAGGATCTGTACCCTAAAAGATAAACTAATTTCACACAATCGATTATTTAAGAATTTGATCACTGAAACTCTCATTCCACCATTGTAGTCCATTGGTAAAGTCATGGAGATAGTATCTCTGTACTCAATCTTCCCTATCTCCTTTTTCCAAACATTCTCTTCCACACGATCAATCTCTCTAGCGCTGATCATGTGGTGAGAAAGAGTTTTCAAACAAGGACACATGGGAGATTAGGGTATAGAGGATCTCTATCCTAAAAGCTAAACTAATTTCACGCAATTGATTATTTAAGAATTTCATCACTGAAAACTCTTTCCGACAAGACTCTGTTCAGTGCTTGAGAGATTGATCGTGAGGAAGAGAGTGTTTAGAACAAGGGGATAGGGGATTGGGTACAGATATATCCTAAAAGATAAACTAATTCTACAATCAATTAGGTTGAAATTTTTGAAAGTTTCATTTTGACTATTTGCAGTGGGTTCGATTTTTATAAATTAGTGGGGTCACTTTTATCTAAATATATATAAATAAAATTCAATTGTATTTCAAAATCTATTGTCGTCAATTGATACCACATTCATCCATGTGACACCGCCCATGAATATGTTCATCGTTTGTCAGATTATGCTTCTTTTTAGACAAACCATTTATATTTTAGCTATGTACTGGCAATTATTTCTGTTCTTTCTGGTTTTAACTGGGCTGGTAAAGCATCACTGGTTGTGAATTATGATTTTTGTGTACTTCTACATTTTCACTTTTGCAGAGTTCACTAACCCATATGGAGTTCACTCTAGGGTAAGCTCCCAAGCTTCATCGGATAGATTATCTCAATTTGGTACAGCTCGTGATTATCATGATTTTGATATGCAAAATCATCCGAACTGGTACAATGAGAAAGACGAAGAATTCAGTGCTCCTTTCCACTTTGGTAGGTCAGACTCTTTTATTTGGCCAAGTGAGGACAAGTTTGTCATGACTTTAGAGATAGAGAAGCAAATTGATAGCCAAATGGGTTTGAATCGTACGTTAGAAGGATTTCAAACTGTAGAGAGAAATATTTACTTGGACAAGGCGTGGCCTTTTAGTCTTTCATCCATGGATGATGTAAATGGGGTTCAGGTCACAAATTATCATCATTTTGAAGAGAATTTCCAAGAAGGAATTCTTGAAAAGGAAAAAGATCAAGATCCTAAGGACCATACTTTCATTGATCTGAAAGATTTCCTACCAAATAGAAATGATGAATATGAAGGTAGAAATGACACAAAAGTGGTTGGAGAACCCCATGAGCCAGATGGTGCTGCTGATGAAGAGGAGAGTGTTACTGCAGATCAGCTTCTGATGCATGATACTAATGCAGAAGAATACGAAGTATTGAATCTAAGAATTGTCCATAGGAAAAATCGGTTAGTTCTCCTGAACTTTTTGCTGTATTATAGTCTTGGTATGGATGCCAAGCACATAAACAATTGTAGTCAATAACTTGTGGAAGTTGCTATCATTGCCTGCAATAATACTCTATTCGAGTTTTTGATTCAAAGCATGGGAAATAGAAGAGGTGCAAATTTGAAATTTTACATGTAGCACACCTAGGGGTTTGTGTAATATGATCAGGGTTAATTTGAGTCTTATTTTTGTGTATTTTATGAGTTAGAATGTTGTTAGACTGATTTTTGTAGCTTTTATTAGATTTTAGGTGTTGAGAGTTTTGGTAATTTTGCAAATTGCTATACATGGACTTTACGGTCTCTTATGGGTCATTTATGGGTCAAATTATATTAAATTGCTTGATGTGGAGTCTTCATTTGGTCTAGATTAGTCTTTGTCTAAGTTTCTTAGAGCATGATCCGATTGGTATTGTTTTAAAAAACTGTTTCCTATTCTTGAAAACAGAAAAAACGAAAACTGACATAAAAACTTGCTTGGCAAATTGCTTTCGAAAACTATTTTGGAGAAATTTTTTGAAAACACCACAGTTTTTAAGAAATCACTTTTAAGTTGTTTTAAAATATATTTTCAAAAACAACTTTCACTCAAAAATGAAAACGATGGGTGTTTTTGAACTTTTCATTGTTTTTTTCACAAGTTCGAACCTTTCATTCTTTTTGTTTCTAACATCACAGAAAATGAAAATGGAAAAAGAAAACATCAATGATGAAAGCAATATCAAACAGACCCTTAATTTCCAAAATTTGGAGTCCGTCATAGTAGAATTAGGAGAACTAATAGCCAGTGAAGATTTGAGAATTTGTCTAAAGTTTTTATGGGTTTGTGCGATGTCTCCTTCAAACTTGTCTTATGGTGGAGTTCTAGGTGGGATTCCTATAGGTTCTTATCTTCTTTTTCTTCTATTGCATAAATATTATTCTTGGATTGCTGTTCATTGGCCCCAAAATTGTCTTTTTCCAGCCGAAAACCCAATCTTATCAAATTCCCAATCAACCCTAACCCCTTCCCTACTCATTGACTTTCAATTTAATCATTAAAACCATAAATTACTCTCCGTTTTGGCCCTCAAAAAGCACATTTTCCAAAAATCCTGCAAGCTACCACCTTTGAAACACAACCAACTTTAACTCTTTTCCTTCTATCTTTTAAATTTTGAAACCTGAACCATAGAATCTATTACTACCTTAAACCCACCACAATTCCTATTGTAGGTAGCATTAGGCTATGTTTCCTACAGCTGCCCTATATATGTTTTTTGACTGGGGTAGATCAAACCATGCTACATAAATCTGACTGATATACTGTCTCAGCTAGGTCTGATCCTGTTATTCTCTCTTTTGACCAAGATTGTGAGCTTATGTATTGCAGGTTGATTTGTAGCAAAAGTTGTAATTATTTGTTATGCTATGCACAGGACTGGATTTGAAGAGAACAGGGATCTGCCCATTGTTCTAAATAGTATAATTGGGAGTAGATATTATGTTACGGACTATCTAGGCTCAGCTGCTTTTAGCAAAGTTATTCAGGCACATGATCTGCACATGGGAATTGATGTTTGCTTGAAGATCATTAAAAATGATAAGGACTTCTTTGATCAAAGCTTAGATGAAATTAAACTTCTAAAGTTTGTGAACAAGCACGATCCTGGTGATGAACACCACATTTTGCGTCTATATGATTACTTCTATCATCAGGTATATATGGTGTAGTTTTGAGAAATTAACAATTTCTGTCAATTTACACTCTTATTCCTTTATTATTGAACCTTCTGATAATGAACTCTTTTATTACTGAAAAAAGAAAGGTATACAATGAAGCCCAGGACACAACTCTAGAGGGCTAAGCAAAGATACACACCCAAAAGCACAAAATCTCTCAAGTACAAGAGGCAAACACTATGAAGGCCTAAACTCTATCAAAAACAACTCTAACATCCTGAGAGACTAGGCATCATAAAACAAAAGAGACCATCTCATAACCTGAGGGGTTAGGGCATTATACTCTTAAGTGACATTGCCACTTCCTTGCAAAGTTGCACTTATGTTGGGAATTCTCGTCTCATGTTCGATGAATTTGAATGAATTTGTTGGCCGAGATGCAAAATTAATAAAATTCTTATGTTGAGCCATCTTTAAACACAGGATCTTCTCCTCTAGCTAATGTGTTGTTGATTATACATCAATACTTTTAAGTGTTGATAATGACTTGTCAACACTAATGTGGACACTGTGGTGCACATCTATTCATTCACATAGTGAGCACTCCATAAATCTTTGTTGTTCTTCGGTGACTTGAGGGTTTATTTATATCCACATTACTATGACCTAATAGGATAGTATAATACTTTGTTATCTAAAATTGCTATTTACGGTTAAGAGATAGCTGAATTGCTGGATTTTTAAAGCCCAGTGGTTATCCTATTGGATTTCCTAAATGATGATTATGTTTTGATTGGTACATACATGAATAATATTACTGTCTTGCTTTACAATCAAACAAATTACTAGTTGGAACTGATGCAGTTATCTTCAATTGTCTTAGTTGCTTTAGTGTTTGGCTGTTACCAGTGATCTTTTGTCCTTGTTAAAATACTGCAGGAGCATCTTTTCATTGTTTGTGAACTCCTTCAGAAAAACTTGTACGAATTTCAGAAATATAATAGAGAATCTGGTGCAGAGCCTTATTTTACACTAAACAGGCTGCAGGTTTGTACAATTTTTCTGTTGAATTTTAAATTTATTACTGTTTACGCAACTCATGTGGTTATTGAATGAAAATGCAATCTGCACTGCTAAACAAATATTTGAAGTAACACTACCTCCGTGAAACACTGATATGGATGTTATTTCCTTTTCACAGCTCATAACCCGGCAATGCTTGGAGGCAATGGAATACTTGCATCAATTGGGAATTATCCACTGTGACCTTAAGCCTGAGAATATTCTTATCAAAAGTTACAGGAGATGCGAGATAAAGGTTATTGATCTTGGAAGCAGTTGCTTTCAGACAGACAAATTGTTCCTCTATGTACAATCTCGTTCCTACAGGGCTCCTGAAGTCATCCTTGGCCTCCCGTATGACCAGAAGATTGACCTTTGGTCTCTTGGTTGTATCTTGGCAGAGCTTTGCTCTGGGAAAGTATGCCCTAATTTGGCCTTGTTCTATTCATTGGATTGAACTTGGAATTTATTGTTGATAGTTGCTTTATAGATAGATTGTTGATCATTTTGTATATCTAAAAGAGTCTGAATCTATTTGTGACCTTTATTTGTAATTTTTTTCCTAGCTAGTTACCCATTTGCAGAATAGTTCCCCTCAGAACATTTCAATTTGTATTTTCTTCTCATCTCTGTGTTTCCATCAGGTGCTTTTTCCAAATGATGCTCTTGTGGTGTTACTGGCACGCATGATTGGGATGCTTGGTCCAATTGATTTGGAGATGTTAGTGAGGGGGCAGGAGACACACAAGTATTTTACAAAAGATTATGATCTTTATCTTATAAATGAGGTTTGTTTTCTGTATTGTCCACTCTATATAATTTGAATTTGGCTTATAAGTATGTTGCAATTCACTTCTTTAAATTATCTGGAGGTAATAGACAGTGTTTCTTGCACTTGAATATGCAACATGATTGCATATTCTCTAGCATCATGGAAAAACCTGTGTGAAGCTAGGTTCGTGATAGAGTTTTGGCTTGTTGAAATTGTTGAAATTTGTAGACCATGCAGACGTAATACTAGCTTCTCTTTTTCCTGGGCTCATTAGTTCTTATCTGTTTTCTTAGGAAATCGTCTACAAAGATGCAATCAAGTACATTTAGGATGATTCTATAGGTTTTGTTTGATTGTTCGGATTGGATATAAGGGGATGAGGAGAATATGTAATACTTACGAATATAGATTGGGAGATAATATGCTTAGAATATAAAATGGATTATATATACTGTGAGTCACTTTTACTATGTTTAGTTAGGACAAGATATAGCATGAGATAAGAGTAGAGTGATTATTGGATATATCCGGTGGTGGGGGATATAATATCCACACCCCCTTATATCTGGAGCCAACTGTGCAACCATACGTGGGACTAGGGGATAACAAAAAATAAATGTGGCCCACCGGATATATAATCTGGTCAACTCCCCGCCCTTATATCCTGTAAAGTATTGTCATCTTCTTTTTATAAAAGGTTTGAGTCTATGGAATCTTTTTAACTGGTGAATTACCTGTATTAGTTTCAAAATACAACTGGTTCCATGCACAACCATATCATCTTCCTAAATGTATTTTAGTTCTCTACATCATTACTAGTGAAGATATAAGGTTTTATTTATTTATTTCTGTTATGACAAATTTCACATATTTGCAGGATTGTATTCTTTTTAATACAAGCAATTCATATTTTTAATTTTCACATGGCTTGATCATCACACAAGTTCCCCAGCTTAGGCTGCTTCGTCACTCTCTTTCAAAATTTTAAACTTGGGCCACTCAAAGATGTCCAAAACATAGTCGTGATTCTCTGCTAGCTTGCTTGACCCAGAATTTACTCTACAAGGGCTTGCACCCTCTTTTTGTCTCTCTTCCTCAGAGCGACACATCTGGACTCCTTGATGAGTATTGATCATGCATTCCAAAACTGGGCTCTTTGTGAAGTTCTTTCTTACTTATTCTAAACTTGTACATCTTTATTCAGGAAACAAGCCAATTAGAGTACATAATTCCTGAGGAGGCATCCTTGGAGCATCACTTGCAGGTTTCTGCTATTGGATTTATTGATTTCGTAAGGGATTTGCTTGAGATAAATCCCCAGAGACGTCCAACTGCAAGGGAGGCGCTAAAGCACCCTTGGCTTTCCCATCAATATGATCCGAACTCTTGCTGAATTGGTGGAGAAATGGTTGTTTCTGCGGGCTTGTTTTAGAAGCAGCTCTTTCATCTGTATAGTTTTCTGTTGTCGCAAGACCAATATGCATGTCTGATCCAAGTTCTGGTTAGTAAGTACATACACACACAACTTTTTTCTGTTTTGTGTATATATATATATATACATGTATATCCTTTATCAACATTTTTGTGATGCATTGGATGATGAAAAATTAGAAATCAAATAATATTTCAAGATGTCTTTGTAGTTCCCTTTGGTTGTCAAATGAAGCACACAGGTTATGGGTGAGAAAAATTTCGAGGTTGTGATGCTACATGCCTTGTTTTGTACATTTCAACTCAAAACTAGTTCTTGCCTCTGTTTTGTCATTGAAGTTCTTTTACCATTACACTTGCTTTAAGGTATCCTTGCAGCTGCTGCCACACCATGCTGCCTCTTTCTGCGTACACAAGTCGATTTGCAATTTTGATTTGCATGCTGAATGTACCTCCAGTTGGGTAAGAAATTAATGTGCAGTGCAAATGAATGTGAGCTGCCTGTGTTTACCAATGCTGGCTGCAATGGCTGATGGCTGATGGCTGTGCTGAAGAATTGTGGTAAATTTGACTGCTTTTATCGGGTATGGTTTTGATTAGGGTAAATTACGGTGACCGCCGAGGTTTATGATAATTCCATAAACCACCCCTGAGGTTTCTGAAATGACAGTCACCTCCCCTGTTAGTGTTGTCCCCCTAAGATCATCCACAATGGATGTGTTAGTGGGTGTGCGAGTGTCAGATGCTAAATATTTGGCCAGCTGAATTCATTTTTGTTCATGCAATGGAGTAGCTAAAGTGTTCATTAGTGCAGCTATTTTGTGTCAGATGCTAAATTGTTTGTTAATTGCAGCGAGCAAGTTAACAAGTAGAGAGAGAGAGAGAGGGGGGGCACTGACAGTGCAGTGGGGTGGGGGCCCACTGCACTTTTCAATTATTTTATATTTTATTTATTATTTATATATATATATATATATTTTTTTTAACACATCTTAACACACTTTAATACATCCATTGCACAACTACTCATCCTCTAAAATTAACAAATTCTTAACACACCTTAACACATATTTTTGAGTCTCACTTATATCACTTTTTGTCATGTAACACATTTTAAAACACTTTTTTAGCTATCCCATTGTGGGCGCCTTAACAGAGTTAATAGAGGATTTTTTTTTTACTAATATACCCCTACATTTAACTGATAGTCTTTTATCTCTGTAACCAAACACCGTTAACCCAAACACACTACCTATTTTTATATTCAAAATTTCAAACACTACAATGAATTTACAATCAAAACATACTACACCTTGTTCCCTCTCTCTGATCCAACCCACCACTTTTATTACAAGCATCATCTACACCCCCATTATCATCATCTTCACCACATTACCTCTTACCCACCTCTCTCCACTGTAGAGACACAAACCCTTTCCTTATCAAGACAACCCTTTTCAATCCTCTGCTAAAGACAAAAGAATCTTCAAGTAAAACCTTTCATTTTTGTTTCTTGAGTTGGCAGCCATTCTGTCCTTCTAGATGAAGCTAAACTGATAAATTGTTTTACTTTTGTACAACTGCCCAAATCCCTAACATTTCAAGAGATGAATTTATTGTAACAAAAGCAAAAGGATTCCTATTACTCCTTAACATGGAGATCACTGGGCCAATGAACCTTACATTCTTTGTCCTCCATTTAAACAAGCAAGTCCAAGAACTCATTCTCATTTGCTCGAAAATCCAAACCCAGTTTCTTCTCCACTTCGATTGTAGCTTCTGCCTCTTGAAGGATCAAACGATTTCAGTTTTGAAAGTTACCTATTTATAAAGACGATCCCAGCTTCGATCTCTCATCGCAGCTCTGAAAATCAATAATATGAAAGAAGGAAAAAAAAAATTCACTGCCTCCAACAACCAAACCAGGTATTCAGAAAGATCAAAACTTTGATCCCCTGCGCAGATTGACACTACCTCCTACCTCCACTGCAAGCCCCTCTTCCATGGCGCCAACCTCTTCCTCCATGGCCATAGCCAGTCTCTCTACCTTTTACACAATCGATCACCACAATAGCCTCATCCATTTCCTCTTCTTCTTTTTCGCATCCCCATGGATGTCCTCTCTCATACCCCCATGGCTGCGACATCTGCTTCTCGTTGACACTAAGCTCGTTGTACTCGTTTTTCTGCATCAGGCTAGTGATAGTTTTGATCACGCACACAAAGTGCTTGACAAAATTCCTCTTTCCATTTTTTTCATTTCTTTCATCATTTTCTCTCTGTTTGATAGTGAAGGCAAAGGTGAGGAGAGTGATGGTGCAAAGTCTGAGACATGTAGTGCACAGCGGCGAGAGGAGTGATGGGAAAATGTTGTGGTGTTAAATGGTGGTGGTGTTCGCTGCTATGGGGTGAGGAACAAAGGTAGAGAGATGTGTTTGATTGTGAGTTGAAGTCCAGGATGTTTGGTTGTAGGTTTATTTATTTATTTTTTAGATTGGGTTTTGTTGTAGGTTTAAGTAAAATAGGGGGTTTTTCTTTTATTCGGATGGTTTGGATACAGATATATATATATTTAATTTATTCTTCTAAATAAACAAGGGCAGATTCGGTATTTCAAAAAAATTAGTAGATGGCATCATCCTTTTCCGTTCTCTTTTAACAGATGTCTGCTAAGGGAGGAATTTGAAACATAGAACCAAAGTATAGGGAAAGTTATTGTCATTTTTAAAACCTCAAGGGACGTTTCTGGTATTGTCATGAACCTGAGGGGAGGTCACTATAATTTACGCTTTTGATTATAAGAAAAGTATAGAGGGCTGCTAAATGTCCATATCTTTTTACTTTGGACATTCCATTTATTTTATTTTATTACAATTTGGTCCTAATATCAAATTTTAATTTTGTCCTCATCCTATTCTCCTAAGTCTAACTCTAACCTTAATCCCACCACCACTTCCACTCCTGTCGGCGGCCTCCAGCGACCAACCCACCTCCGTTATTTTCCTCCTCCAGTGAGCCTTTTACCTCCACATGTGTTCACGGAATTACCAATGGTAGCGAAGGTTAGGGTTTTGGTAGCGGTAGCAGAAAAGGAGCTACTGATTTGTAAACTCTCTTTTGTGATCTTCATCTTCATTCTTTGGAACCTACTCTATTTTCTCTCTTTTGTGCGCGACTATCTCCCTCCTCGTTGATTTCTCTTTCTATCTCACAAGTTGGTCGATTTCGCTTCGTTTGGTTACACAGAGCCAAACTTGTTGGATATGTTCGGTGCTTCACAACTGAACATATGTCTTTTGTTCGGCTACATAGTACCTAACATCAAGCTTTGTCGAGAATTGGTTTTCCGAACGACGGCAAGAGTGGTCGCGAAGGCAAAGAGAGGATTTTTTCGAACGGGTTATCCATCTTTTATCTTCAGCAACATCAATGTGACTCTTTACAATGGAGGAATCACCCTTTGAACTAGGGCCCATTACACTTCCCACATTGTTACATTCTTTGAAACATAGTTCGCATCTGTCTGATACTTCGAAGAAATAGACGATTGCTCTGTTGCTGCTGTTGTTGCTGTTGCTGTTGCTGTTGTTTGAACAGGTCATCGGAGGGGAGGGTAGCCGGAGTGGAAGGGGGATTGCCGGAAAATGGAAGGAGGAGTTGTAGGTAGAAGGTGTAGGGGTGAGATTAAAAGGGTATATTTGAGATTATGGTAAGAGTTCAAAGAAAAATAAAAAAGGGAAGCAATTTTGGTAGTGGGGGGTTCAAAGTAGAAAGGTGGGGGTATTTAGCTCTCAAACTATAAGTTGCCAGAGAGGTCTACACACAGAAACATTACAGAAAATCAATACAAAAATGTAGTAACTTTTGATTTTATCACTTTAAACCAGAGGCCCATCAAGGTGTATGGTTTTTTCTTTTTAAATGCCACTACCGCATTATTTTAGTTAATAATTTTGAATATAAGAAATCTGTAAGAATGAATTCTCTTGTTAAGTATAATCTGGTGAATTTTCTTGTTTGGTTTCGTTTTTTTGAAAACAATTTTCAGAAAATTTTACTTTTTTGTTTTCCATAATTTTTTGTTTTTCTTGAATTTTTTTTCATATTTTAAGCAAATTTTTTTTAAAATTTTTAGATACACTTAACATAAATACACATAAAAAGTATAATTTTTGTGAACAAATCTTTTAAAAATTCAATAAATATCAAAAATACAAAAAAAAAATAAAAATTTGGTATGTTTTTCTTATTTTTATGTATTTGTTAATTTTTTAAAATATTTTTTCACAAATGTTTTACTGTTTAGATACATCTAATTAAGATATATCTAAAAAAGTAAAAAAAAAATGTTTAAAATTTTAAAAAGTAAAAAAAAATGTTTGAAATTTTAAAAATATTCACTAAAAATAAAAAAACTCAGTTTTTAAAAAATTTAAGGAAAATGTTTGGTAGCTCAAATTTTTGTGGCTTAAATGGCTCAAATCTGTCAAAACGACGTCGTTTTACACTCATTTACAATAAAAACAACGTCGTTTTGAGTGATTTGAGCCATTTAAGCCACAAAATTTTGAGCTACCTAACATTGTTGAAAATTTGATTCAGAAAATTCAAACCAAACACACTGATTAGTTTTTTTTTTTCCAGCCTAGGTGGATTAATTGACATAATAAATATCATGTGTATATATATGTATGGGTGTATAATTCATTATGAAAAATATAGAAATATTAAAAACTTATACGGAAATCTTATGGTACATAGGTGTGTACTGTATGATCCCTAGTTACGATTTTTGTGATATTTGGTTATAACCTATTGAAGTGTTAGTTATGATTTGATTCGGTGGTGCTACATGCACCAATTAATATACACACTAGTATACCAACTAGTGTTATGTTATTATTATTGACCCCACCTATCATACAAATTACAAATACCTAAAACCTCTAAAATTATGTCACATCATTTGTTAGTATTCTAATTAGTATATTAATTGGTACATCTAGCATTATTCGACTTGATTTTATATATTGTGGTATTACTTACGACTCATTGTGATATTGGTTATGATATTATTTTGATTATAATCTAAGATGGTTATACCTTATGTGAGATTCGATTATAACTTTTTTATTTATTTATTTATTTTTATAGTTTTGATTTTTATAAGATTGAGTTATAACATTTATAATAATCAAATTCACAAATGTCATGGT